AAGAGGTGGCTGGACATCTTGCTCGAGGAAGAACAGAAGAGCATTGCAGCAGAGACCCCACAAGCGTCATCGACTCCTAAGGCTTGGCTGGATCGCAGCGTCTCCTGGGTCACGGGCGTTTCTGGGAGTTTGGTAGGGTACCTTGGTGGGAACAAGTCAGAGAAAGATGCATACCTGGACCAGCAGTTTTGATAACTGATGCTTCCTTCGCCTAGTGTGTGTATGCGTGTCATGTACATACAACTAATGTTTTACCAAAACTTTATTACTAGGAAATCGATGTGTTCCTGGTGAGTCTGTCATACGGTTTTGCTCTGTTTCTACTCCATTAAATGACAGTATAAAAAGTTTTATAGGACTTGAGAGTACACTCAAGATGAACATTGTGAAGAGATAAACCTGTATTCAGGTATTTGGGTTTCCCCCTCGCTGTGAATTTTTGTTCCATGTACTCAGCTCGTCCATCCGTTCCATTTGATGTTCTCTGGTCGTTCAGATATCGAAATCATCTTAATCCAATGTACTCCCTCCTGTTCTGAACTAGAAGTTGTTTTGATTTTTTTTACATCAATTTTACTATGTATTTAGATATAACTAGTGGAAATGTACGTGCGACACGCATGTGTCTATAAAAAAAAGTCATATATACAGTATAAGATTAGAGACTAACAATGTTAGACCTAGAGCTTGTAATCAATATACATGCACATTAAAATTACCAAGCCATAAATTTATTAACAGCCTAATCTATCAAATCATGGTATGATAAGCAGTCAAAATTCACGATCTTCTCTTGGTCAAAATTCACTATCTTCTCCAAGTAACCTAATAAATTGTACGTCGTCTCTCCTACGTAGCCTTGCACATTCAGTGCGGTATAAATTATCATTGCTTCGAATAGACGCCGTGACTCGCATAAAATCAAATACTAAAAATAATACATAAACCATATGTTCGAAACATATAGGTTACCAATATATTTATTGCTTCAGCCAAATCACGATCTTCTCCCGGTAGCCTAAAAGACGACAACTCACATCTGAAACAACCACCTGCCTGCAAAGATTCAACGAAATCACCTCTGAATATTAACATGTGTGCAATGTCCATGCGTGATAGTCTCGAATGATAGAAATCGCATACATGTCATCATACATTATATTGCCTACAGACTACGAGGACAACCATAGTGCTCGAGTGCCCTAAGCTGAAGAAGAAGAAAAAACTAAGAATTTTTGGACATGAACCCACCTTCACGATGATTATTTCTCTAGCGGGGGCATGGTGCAGCCTATCAGCAAGTTTCGTGTTCTCGATAATTGGCCAGCATGTGCAGAACCTCTTTATTTGTTTTACGGCGACTCATCAACCTTAACTTTGAATTCATGAAAACCAATACAAATTTATTAGCATTTATTTAATAGAAATCGATCAAGTATTATAAACCACAGGTCAGGAACATAAAGACTACCAGTAGTATTTGTTGGTAGCCGATTGAATGACAACTCGCATCTGAAACAACCACCTACCTGCAAACTCTATGAAATCACCTCCGAATGATTAATATTTGTGCAGTGACCATGTGTAATAGGCTTGAATCACGGAAATCGCATACATATACCATCCTCCATTGCCTACAGGCAATGAGGACAACCACAGTGCTCCGGGTGCCCTAAGCTGAAGAAGAAGAAAAAACTAAGATTTCTCGGACACCAACCAACCTTTATAATGATTATTTCTTCAGCGGAGGCATGGGTACCGTCTATCAGCAAGTTCTGTGACCTTGACAATAGGAAAGCATGTGCAGAACCTCGTTGTTTGATAAGTCACAAAAAAAAAAAACTCGTTGTTTGATGGCGACTCATCAACCTTACATTTGGATTCAAGTTCTGTGCCCTCGACAATAGGCAAGCATGGACTCGTCAACCTTACCTTTGGATTCATGAAAATTATTATAAATTTATTAGCATTTAGTTAATAGATACTGATCAAGCATTATAAATTTTTTTTACCATTGGATATAAAATTATCAAGGTAAAACAAGATCAAAAAGCTCAAAATATTTTTTCCAAATACATTACTCGTTCAAAAAATTGCATGCCTCGATGCTTCTCTCGTTCGGCCGCAATGCTGCAGGAGAGATTAGTCATGACGTCACCACATATGGAGTATAGGCAGCCAATGAGGCAAAAACATGAATATGCGACGGGAGGGGAGCCAGACGGACAAAAGAAAAACACGCTAGCTTGTTATGCATGCTCAAAGCACGTAGTAGATGCGTTGAACACTTTTTTTTTAAAGTACACTTTCCAATCCTCAACTCGCGCCGAAGTTCGATTTTCAACCTTCAACTACGAAACCGGTTAAGAAACACCCTCCAACTATTAAAACCGGACAAATTTGGTCCTCGGCTGGTTTCAAAAAGTGGTTTCCTATTTTCGGGAGGCGCCGAAATTTTATATTATTTTTTGAGCATCTTAACGTCCTCAAATGAAAAAACTCAAAACTACAAAGTTATAGATCTCATTGAGAGCTACAACTTTGATATAAAAAGTATTTTCATTTAACTCCATACAAATAATATATTAGTGCTCTAATGCGGCAAGCGCTAGTAGGCGATTATTATGGTGCTGAAATTTTATATTATTTTTTTGAGCATCTTACTGTCCTCAAATGAAAAAAAATTAAAACTATAAAATTGTAGATCTACAATTTACATATAAAAATTATCTTCATCCGACATCGTATTGAAGGGTTTTCTATTTTTTGAAATTTGAGTCACGTCACGTGACAAAACAATACTGTGGCGTCATGGCCGGCGGCTCTGGACGGTAGAGTTTGGATCGAAGAGGCGATGTGATTGGGATTGGACAATTTTTGTGGAGTCGGCGGGCGTGGCTACACGGGTGGGTAAAGTGCTCGTACGTAAAAAAAATTGGAGGCAAGAGGAGATCGCAAGAGAGAAACACGCGTAAATATAGATGGCCAACGGGCCAGCCCGGCCCGCCCCGGCACTGGCCCGTAAAAGCACGGCCCGATAGAGGTCGGGCCGGCACGGCACGCTGGCCCCCGGACCGTGCCTCTTAGGGCCATAGGCCTGGCCTTCAGCCCAGGCATGGCCTATCGGTCCGTTTCTCATGCCGGGCTGGCCCAAAAAGCACACCACGGTTAACGGACTGTGCTAGCCCAAGGCTCACTGAGAGAGAGAGGTGTGGAAGGGCAGGCAGGGCAGTAGGATGAGGCCGCAACAGGACGAGACCGCGCGGGGGTTGGGGGCGTGGAGGAGGCGCTCGACGCTGCTGCACTCGAAGCCAGCCGCCGCTGCTTGACGCCGCCATGGAGGATCTGCGGAGGTTCGCGACTTCGTGAGCGCGACCACGAGATTCGAGAGGGAGGAGCTAAGTGCGGCCGCATGGGGGTATGGAGCAGGGCCAGCGGTGCTGGGGCGTGGAGGAGGAGGACAGGAGGCGCCGGGAGGAGGCAATGGAGCTGGAGCAGATCGGGAGCCAGCGCTGCGCGGTGCAGTCCCGGTCGATGGAGCTGGAGGAGGGGCAGTAGGGGGTGAGGGGCAGCACGGGAGCATGGTGGCGCCAGTGAGGAGTGAGTCTTGGTCATTGCGCGTGGGAGGGATCACAGGCTGGCGACAGGGGGAGGGAAGGGAGTTAGGGTTCGGGGCCACGTGGAGGGGGAGGAGGAATCGGGGTGGGCGGGTGGGAACTGGGAGCGTGGGGCTGCGTGGGGAGGAGGCTGCGGCTGCTGCAGAGCAGCAGCAGCTGGCCGCCAGCTGGCCCTCCAGTTCTCAGAAGGGGCCGTGTTGTGCCGCCCACGTGCTCGGTAAGGCCTAGGCACGGCTCTGCTCCTCCCAAGCCGTGCCGGCCAGAGCCCATGCTAGCATGGGCCATGCCGTGTTTGGGTCGGGCTAAAAAACGGCCTTTGGGTCAATGACGAGCTCGGGCTGCATGGCCAACTATGCGCGTAAACGTTTACAAGTTTTCCGGCTAGGTCCACTTGTTAAATCACGGTGGAAATTTTAGATGTGTTAGATCCAATTTTAAAGTAGATTTAAGTGACAAGAGTTTAGGTGGGTAGGAGGCATTAGGGTGAGAGGTTATTTTCAATTTCTTCGCTCTTTTTATAATATAGATAGATGTATGTCTAGATATATAACAAAATAGATGTAAAAAAAAAGTCAAAACGACTTATAATCTGTATATCATTCGAGTATCAACAGTCATAAATGTTTGACATATTAAGATTTGTTCTAATTTAAATTATTTTAATTGTCCATAAATATTTACAGTTTTACATGACCGACTACACATCAATCATATTACGTACTAGTTTTACCATGAAATACTTATAATATGTAAATTTAAAACAATAATATTTCATAGATATTGGTAGTCGAAGGACAACCAAGCCAAGATGGACTGGTATTATCTAAGTTACTCGTAACAAACCTTGTAGATTGACTTTTTAACAGGTGTATGAGTTGATTCTCCCCTAGCATCAATGTACCATATGGACGTCATCAAAATCAACTTATTTCTGTTTCTTAATGCAGTCTCAACTCTCAACGAACTTTTTTTTGAAAGACCGTTTCGAAAACCATCTCAGGAAAAAAGGGGAAAGGGGAAAATAATAATTTGTCTGTCGGTACTGAATGAATTTAAGAACAGCACGAAGAAATCAAAGACATTCGCGATAAGGGCACATAATGAAACTGCAACTACGGTAACATAATAGCAGTTCACCTACTAAATTAACATGCTTTAATAAAAGGATTACGGTAACATAATAGCAGCAGTTCACCTACTAACTTATCCTGCTTTAAGATAGTGCATAGTGCATACGTGATCATTAAACCACATCGCATGCCGCCCACAAGGTTCAGGCAACATGCCTCGCTTCCATCAACTTATTCAAGCATACCACTACTTATTTACATCTATATTGTACTAGGAATAGCAGACAGGAGACACCGAGACAGGCATCATCCATTAATGATCATTTGCCGCCTTGGTCACAAGATCCGCCACGATGAATCCTTCTTCGTCGCTGTTGTCAACCACCTCCTTGTTCATCTCTGCGTCACCAAATCCCTAGAGGCAATCAGACACCGAGGTTCAGAAAGTTCACAATAGTGTCAATATAGGATGGACATATATGGTCTTACTTACCAGCTCAGAGAACTCAAGAGCATCCCACTCATCATAGCCACAGAGGTGGGCAACAGACTGCTCCAGGTCGTAGTTGTTCTGCCGGAGTATCTTCTTGTTCAGGTCAGCCTGCATGAAGCCCAGACCCTCCAGCTCAGTCATCAGCTTCTCCTCCAGGTGGTTGATGATCTGTTCAGGCAAGGGTGCTGCTGGAACAGGAGCAATAGTAGCTGCTGGCGCAGGCATGCTAACATGATCAACAACAGGCGCAGAAGAGCTAACAGGAAGCATAGGCACAGGGTTGGGCTGGGGAAAGGCTTCAGATGCAGGCACACCATCAGGTATTGAAGCCAATAAAGATTTGGCAGAAACATCAGTGACAGGATTTTGCACCGGCTCAACTATTGTTGGGACAGAGGACATATCACCAGGAGCAGGCCTAGATTCCTCGAGTTTCATGGTTTCCCGAAAGCTTAAAGGGCATCTCAAAGGTTCAGAGGACACACTGTTTGTCTCGAGATCAAGTATGAAAGGCTTCAGTTTTGTGCTGTTGGCTTTTGGGATTCCAGGGCATCCATAGAAAGGTTCTGAGGAAACACTGTTTGTTTCAAGATCAATTGTGAAAGGCTTTAATTTTGTGCTGTTGGCTTCTGGGATCTGATTCAGGTTCATCGCAGCAGCCTGCTTGCCGCCACTAGATTGAATAGGCTGCTCCACCTGCCCTCAAATTTAACATGTCAATGATCAGATAAATGTAAGCATCAATGTGACAAGGACAAAAGCAGGCAATGGTAGAGTAACAACCTTAATATGAACCCAAATTTGCTGACCAAATCTCTGACCTGAGGGTAGTGCCAATCTCCAGTAAGATATGTACCTACCAGGCCTTGCGGGGGCAAGGAAGTCAACGGTTACATCAGTCTCTTCGCACGGATTTATCCTCCCATTTACCGAAATCTGCATGCACATCAAATATAAGTAAGACTTAATGAATTTGCATCCCATCCTGCGCTCAGTTTACACAGATGCTAAATTCATATAGCAAGTACATACCGCTAGTCTGACTGAACACGGGGATGCCAAGTGATCTCCACCAACCCAGACAAGTTGGGTGCCATACGGCCACCTAGTAGACCCATTGTTACGTACCCGCCAAATCTTGGTAAATGGATGTGATGGTGCCATTGGTGTTCCATCAGGGACAGTAACATCCTTGATGAAGAGAGAGTTTGTTTTTTCCGCCGGAACCCGCTCAAGAATCTTTATGTTCTGATGACAGGGTCAAACAACGTAAGGTGGAATCCTATCACTCTTACTATTGCATAGATACTATACAGTAATGGATACTCAGAGAGAGAACTAAGTGCCACTCAAACTTACACATCTTGAAGCAGGACTGTCCATTCTGGTATATTCAGCCTCATTGCCAATGTGAGAAAAACAAGCCCCACACAGATCATAGTCTTCTTTACTGTCAGCAAGGAAGCATGTCAGAATAAATAGAAACTATATTTAAGACTAGTACTGAAGTTAATAACTTACACATTAGACTTGTAACGAGGCCCAACAATCGGTGTCACTCCACATCCATCACATTGTACCCATCTATGCTGTTCGCGCTGTGGGATGCTCCCGTAATTGGCACCAAGACCTCTGTAAGAACTACCAAAAGATTTCTCTTCTGGATTGGGTAAATTACGATGCAAAGAGGCCATACGATCATGTGAACTCCCAATAGGGTAGAGGTTAGGAAAGCACGTACCAACAGACGAAGGTGTGTACTCAAAAGGACCATAGATGTTGGGTGGAGGGGAGAAAGTTGAGAGCATATCACCACTAGTTTTTCCATTGGTTCCAAAGATAGGATTGTAAGGGGGGGAAACTGGTGAGCGAGGATGGAAGACTGCAGGTGGAGGAGGGAATAGCGATCGCAAACCACCATTAGCTGTTCCATTGGATCCGCAGGATGTATAGGTAGGGTTTGTTCCATATATTAGTTTGTTTTCAAGCATAGATGGCACAGGAACAGGTCGTTGTGTAGGAGCACCATGAGATGTGGTGGAAGCAGGTGGCAAAGAGGATATGACAGATTTACCCTTACTGCGAGCATCAGTTTTTATCTTTATTTCATTATCAGCACTCCGCTTGAGTTCAGATTTCATTCCACCTAAGCTAGTAAAAACCAGTGAATCCTCAACTGAAGGACATAATGACACCTGATCAATTTTAGCAGTGGGATTCTCCAATAGCACACTCTTAAGACCATTTTCAGGTGTCCCAGAATTTTGCATGTCTGAGGGCTCGGAAGCTGAAACTGTCATAGGTGCAGATTGCTGCTTAGCCTTTGAATTTCCCAATTTTTGTGAACCAACTCCAGAGCCAGCAGAAGGCTGCATTTTGCTGCTTCGTGCTATCAGTTTAGCAAAACGGTCCAGCAATTCAGCCAATGAAGGTGCAGATAATGCAGCTCTAGAGCGCAAGTCGTGAGATAGTTTTGCAAAGACAGCAGGAATTTGCTCAGGTACAAACTTTAAAGCTTCATCAATAGCTGATTTCACCTGAGCTAGTTGATCTTCGAGAGACGCTGACCTAAGAGATTTGAGATCTGTGGTGTGCTGTTTTGTCAGAGCTGCCCCAACATTGCTGCCCTTCAATTGAACAATAATCCTAAGAGGGTTTAGTTTCTGATTAACAGCAGCATCACGTAGATCATTATCATCATCCAGCATGACATCATCTCCATCCTCATCAGTATAGGTGAGAATGAATTCAGTGTCAGGACTGAACTTAAAGGCAGTTGCAATCTTCAAGCGAAGGGCAAGCAGATCATGATCAAAGTGTGAACCATTCACAGAAGCATTGAAACGCTTCAAAGTGTCACCATATTTGACCTGAAAACCAGTTGAAACTATAATGAGATTCACAGAAACACATGGGGTAGCACATTCAATTACTCCTTTAGACTTTAGAGTGAGCAGATATGAAAGCTGGTTCACACTTAATGTATTAATAAAAACATAAATACCTTGTAATCAACATATTTGTGAAGTTAATAAGAACACCAGGTGACCAACACTTAAAATATGAGAAACTAATCTATTGCTTTTAATCAAACATTATCGCACCACTAAGAAACAACTGTTACCAAATTGATTGATCAAGAATAACTACACGCTTAACCATAGGAAATAGTTAAGATATATTTATCAAAATTTAGCTACACAGAACAAAGATGGAATGTTCCAAGAGGCGTTAGGAGTCTTAAACAATAATATTAAGGGCTTACTGGAACATGCCAGTGTATATTGACCTCATCTGCCACCAAACATCTGCGATGCTGTGTAATCTGTCGTTGTGCCACACCCTTAACAATGAAACTTCACCATAAAAAATCCCAAAGATAAAACATTCACACTACTATGATTCAACTCATCTATCTATATCAAATCCCAGATAAAAAAAAGATCCGTGCTCAGTGTAGATTAGCCTGAATCCTCCCGGCCTCTTTTATTAACGGGATCAAGATTAAATATAAAAAATCTGATCTTGGAGACGCAAAACCTCTACTCTGCCAGCGTGGTGAACATTAATAGTTCATCTGATCATACCAACCAGGCCGCACCTTCATCCCTATCCAGGGAGTGTTTCAGATCACTAGGATCCATCCATTAACTAAAAAGAAAAATCGTTGGAACAAAAAAACCAAAACAACAACACTATGATCTACGGAGCGGGGAAAACCCTGCTTTACACGACGAACCGCCAAACCCTACCCGCGGCATTCCCCTCCTTTCCTCCGCGACCATAGACGACACACGGAGGAACAGTAGCGCGACGTCAATGCAGCCCGAAACCTCACCTTGACGACGAGATCCCACGCGTCGACGCGCGGCCACCCGTAGGGTTGTGGGTATCGCTGGTGGTACCTGCGAGCATCCATCGCGGAACGGACGGACCACCCCCCTCGGATCCCAGCGAAGGCAGGGGGGGAGGGACGGGCCCTCGTCTCGCGACGAGCAGGCCGGAGGCAGTTGAGGAAACCTTGGACGATCGAGCGGAGGGCGGAAGCGGTGGAGTTGTGGGTGTGGGTGTGGCGAGGCAGGCAGAGCCGCAGAGGAGGAGAAGGGGGGCCGAGGCCTTGCCGTTACAGCTCCCTTTTACCGAGCGTTTCGCCCTTTTCAGTTTCCTTCCACGGGAAGGACGGGGGGCGGAGTGACATTTTCGCCGTTTTGCCGCTGGAGTTTTCGGGTATCACGACTGGGTTCTCGTCGGATGTTGGGTCCCACCCGTCGGTGGGAGAAGCGTGGCTATTGCAGCATTGCTTGGAGCCTTGGACAGTGCTCTGGTTGTGCGCTGTGTGATTTTGGAGTTCTCCTGGGTGAGGTAGTAGTTTTGATTTACGTAATAAATATCCCACTCTCCTCGGAGCTGGCAACAGTCAGACGGTGGGACGCGGACAGGGACCGGGACAGGGACCGGAAATATCAGCATGATATACATGTTCGCACGTTGGGTTTAGTCAACATTTATCAGTTAGTTAATAGTATTTTTCTCTTAAATAAATTAGCATCAACAAACAAATCGATAGTGTTTTTCTCTCGTAACAAAATAGCATCTGCCGAGTGAACAGGGTGATGGCTTCTTTTTGTGTCAGCGTTAACGGGAGGCTAGTTCTTGTGGTGGGAAAGAAGGCACATAGTGCACGAGGAAAATATTCAGCGTCCATCAAGATCAGGTCTCTCTTGTTTCTCTAGCAAAGAACTTTAAGTTGGCAGTAGGAAAAAGAACGAAGATACGTCAAGGCCGGAGGAAACCTCCAGAAGATTATATTATGTTAAATATTGATGTATCCTATGATGATGATAATGGGTGTGGAAGTACATCCACGATAATCAGAGATAGTTCTAGAGGAATGGTTGCGGCGACAAACACTTATATTCCTCACCTGGTAGATGCTCCAATGGAAGAAGCGTATGCTCTAAAGGAAGGGTTAATGTTAGCCCAACATATTGGAGGTAACTGTCTGATTGTTCAATCCGATTGTATGAAAGTGATTGAAATTATGAGGAATGGAGGTATTCAGCTGCTGCAATATATGATGAATGTAACATTGTTTGGAACGGATTCTAGGAGATTTCTATTGAGCATTCAAGCAGGGAAGCTAATCAGGTGGCACATGAATTAGCTAGGCAAGCTATGTTCACAAAAGAAAAACTGTATTCGGGATGATGATTCCCCTAGTTTTATTGTTCGTTTCTTATCAATGATGTAACTATTCTTAATCAATAAAGCTTGTCTACGGGTTTAAAATAAAGGTACCAACTCGAGGAGCAGAATGCAAATACAGGGATCAGGATACGATCCAAACACTTTTTTCGTGTGTCTGATTCCTGTGAAGGGGTTTCGCATGTTCAGGTAATCAGGGTCAGGGATGACAACGAGTTAGATGTGGTATGGGCAGAGTAATGCTCATTCATGATAACAACTGCAGCATTTTTATAAGTTGTGTTTGAGTGTCTGTTGGTGATTGCAGCTGCTCCTGCAAGCGATTAGGCATTTAGGCCTACAAGCGATGTGCCGATGTAGGTGCCCCGAGTGGGTTACTGGGTCTGCTCGGCTGGTAACCAAAATCTGTCATGCTAAGATTTAGCAAGTCAAAAATTAAGTAAAAACATTGTCATATATTTAGCAAACTAAATATGAGAGTTTGACAAGTTTTGATAGTAAACCAAATATTAGCTAAAATCATGGTTTGCCAAATCATTGGTATGGCAAATTTTGGAAGGGAACCATGTTAGATTTAATATGGGCCAGGTCCATATATTATCTAATTAAATCAAATAAATTCTAAGGCCCGTATTAAATAATGTGCGTGATATTATTTAGTCCCATACGGGATATTGACGAGACGTTGACTCGACTTATATGTGCGGGCTGTGTCTGTCTACATTGAATGGTTGAGTGGAGGCGTGGCCGTGCCGTGCCATGGCTGATGCGACGCAGAACATGAAAAGTTTTCCCACTCAAGCCATTTATGGGCAGGAGTTACCAAGTGACGGGAGTTTCTACCCCCAATTGGGAAAGTTAATACGGCGCCTCCTCCGCTTCCTCTCCCGCCGGTGTCACGCCCTCTCCGCTCCCTGCTAGCCCGAGATAAAAGAAAGACACACTTCAACATTCAGTTGGCTTAGTCTCTAATGCACACAAGTCTCCACACTTCCACTGCATCCAAGGCTTCTCCATCGTTTGGCAACTTCATCTTCTTCTCGGCGTTCGTGGCGGCGGCGGAAGATCGACACTGCAACTTCACTGCACTACATCGAGCGAGACGACTACTTCAACAGACGCTATATCGACTAGCGCAACCGGCTTTGGTGCTGCTGGGTATGTTCTAATTTATCCCCTATCGTCAACGATTAAAATCATGATTATTAGTATCATCTACATGTTCATGTCACTAAGATCACACAAGCACATACATGATGTCACAAATTTTTTGATTATTGCTATTTTCTGAATTAAATTATTACTGAAATTGCCTAAAATTCTAACAATCCAAAACCTGATAGGTAATTCTCGGTAGTTGGCTTTGCGAGTATGCTGAAACCGAATGTCTTTGAGAGGACTAATTACAAGAGGTGGCGGCAAAGATGCATTCTATGGTTGACTGCTATGCGCTGCTATTTTTGTCACTGAACCTAGGGCTGTTGGGCCGCATACTCCTAATGAGGAGGGTGCGTTCAAACATGATGATACTACGTTCAAGGCTGCAATTTTGAGCATGCTAGGAGACTCCATAGTTGATGCATATATGCCGCTACAGGCTGGTAAAGAGATGTGGGATGCACTTGAGGTCAAATATGGAGTTTCTGATACTGGTAGTGAGTTGTATTTCATAGAGCAGTTTCATGACTACAGGATGGTTGATGACTGTGGGGGGTACGACCCCGGATACCCACGGCGGACCACATGGGTTGTGCCCCCACAGGGGCGGCCTGGCCCACAAGATGAAGCCTTACGGGACACGATTCTGCTCGGCGCCTCCCGCAAGATATAGGAAGGATATCCTGAAGATACTACGAGATCTGTTAGGATACGTATGATCCCATGATTCTTGTAATCTATTATTACTTTCCGGTTATCTCTCAGATCTAACCGACTTGTAACCCTGCCCCCGGACTATATAAGGCAGGCAGGGACCCCCTCCAAAATCATGGCATATCATACGATAACTAATACAAACCAACAGACCACAGGAGTAAGGTATTACGTCATACTGACGGCCTGAACCAGTATAACTCGTGTGTCTCTGTTGCCTTCTTGTTCTTGATCACGCGCTCCTCTGCCGATCAATCTACCTTCGTGGGATACCCCTCGGAGAACTGTCGACGATATTCTGTCGACAGTTGGCGCGCCAGGTAGGGGTGTGCGTGCTGTTTCCTTGTCGAACAAGATGGCTTTTTCCGCAGGCTCTTTGTCCCTCCCGCAGCCCGGCTAGATCTTCACGGGCGGATCCATCTCATGGGTCATCAACGCTGACGGAGTCAGAGAGCTCCTTGAGTCGGTGCAGATCGATTCTGTGCCGGTCATCCCCGCACCTGCAACTGCAGATCCGATCTTGGAACCACTTCTGAGGTCGTCTTCATCAACAACTCGCCGCTCGCTTCCTCGTTACTAGAGGAGGCACATCAACAATGACGATCTGATTGAATCCATCGATTGGGTCGGTCTAAAGCTCGTCGATTGCCTTTTCATCGCCGAGTCGGCTCTGGACACTTTCGTTCAGCGCCGGCCACCCTCCGATCCGCATCTATCAGAAGCTACTCGGCAAACTCCGGGGGTTATGGCCCTGCCCTTCGGGCTCGTCAACACTACCGCTACATACCAAGACGCCCTGAGGGGCAAATTCGCTGACCAGGTGGGGGATATCCATCCTCTCGCTGACCAGATCGCCGATCAGCTTCCGCCGATGGTCAACATGCTGCACGCCAGCCGAGGCCCCGGAGCATCCCTCCAAACCATCCTGGAGGAAAATCTAGACTCTGAATCCTAGGGCTCCACGGAGACCCTCGCCAAAACCTTCACCGAGCAACCCCCTCTCCCGCCTTTCCGGGATGGCGCGATCTTCAACGTCAGCATCTATAGCCCCCCTCGGAATGGTGAAACCGATGAGGAACGCGCCGCTCGTGAAAATAGGAATGTCAACCGCGCACAACGCCGTGAAAACGAGTGCACCCTTGCGATGGCCGAGGCCGCTCGTGACAACCAATTCGACTCACAAGGAAGGCCGCTCCATCGCAACCTCGACGAAGAGTTTCTCTATGTTGACGGCCACGACGTCTTCAAGACTCCAAGTGCTAATCTGGCGGTGGTCGCCAACGAGCTCGCCCGCCTCCCGCAGACGCCCGAGCTCGCCAAGGTCGCCGCTGTGCTTAAAGTGGCACACTGTCAAGTCAATGAGATCCGAGAGGATCAGAGACCTTCATGCTCTACGAGCACGATTCGTCGATCAGCTGTGCCTAAATCCAATCGCCGCCCCAGTCAAAGCCGATTCGCCGACCAGTCACTACCTCTCCAGGGGGAGCCGATGGCCACCGCGCTGAGCATCATCGCCAGCACGACCAGGAGGTCGAACAGGACGCTCGAGTGCACCTTAGTAACCTTCAGGATGCACGACGTCGTATCGAGCAACATCGCTTCGGTCGCCATGAAGACAAAGTGCGCCGCCGCTAGGAGTACGAGCAAGAGTACGATAATCCAGACTCAGCTTTGGAGCCGATCGCCGCCGACAACACTGCAGACAACGACGCCGACAACACGGAAGGGCCCCCAGCTTTCACCAGGGTGCTCCGAACACTCCAGTGGCCTCGTGGTTTTAAAATCACCGGGGTTGAGCCCTATGAAGGAAGGATGAACCCAACTCAGTGGCTACAGGCTTAC